CCAGCTTGCTGCCGCTGCTCACCTCCAGCTTGAGATCTGCAAAGAGCGAGGGGGAGCGCGGTGAGCGTGCCGAAAAGCCGCTCGTGCAGCTCCCCCATCCCTCCCCTGCCGCCCGGGTGCCTCTCGCTGCCCGCTGACCCCTCTCCTATTTTTAAACAGCCCCTTCACGGAAAGTGGGAAATTCCTCCCTCGAGTGCAGCCGATGCCGGTGCTCCCGGGGGATTCGGCACCATGCGGGGACGATGCTCCGCCTGGCTGCAGTCGCAGTCAGGTCTTGCTGCTGGGGGAAGCGTGCAGGTTTCCTTGCTGGGGTTTTTTTTGGAGGAAAAAAGCAAATGCTCCGCTTGTGACAACAGCCCGCGGTCCCGCTGGGCACGTGGATCTGCTCCTGCCCTCCCCGTGCAGGGGAGGAATTAAAAAAAGAGGCAAAGAAGCAGATAAGCCCTTATCTGCACCGCGGCGGCTGTGAGCCCCGTGCCAGGAGCCCCCCAGCCGCTGTTCGCACCTTCCTATCGCGGCCGAGCAACCGCTGCCAGGAAAATGCTGGTGTCTATATTCAGCCTCATCCCCCGAACCCCCCCCAGGGTGACGCGGCGGCGGTGCCGGGGCTGGTGCCGGGGCTGGTGCCGGGGCTCTGCCCACGCAGGCGGTTTTCACTGCTTCCCCTTCCTTCACCCGCAAAGGCGCTTCCTCCTGGGCTGCTCCAGTGGCTGGCTACAGCCTGGCGCCACGGCTGGCCTCGCCTGCTCCCAGGGGCGGTCGGGTCCATCTGGGGCCAGCCCTCTCCTGACAGACAGGTCGAGCCGTGACCGCATCTCGGGCTCGGCCTCTTCTCTTTCAGCTTTTCCTGTACAAGGCTCTTGGGACGGCACTGGCAGCTTGTCAGGACCTCAGACACGTCCAAGAGCAGGTGCTGAGGTTCCTCCAGGAGACAAACCCTGTGGAGCTGTCTGAGGCCCAGGTGAGGTGATGCTCATGTCCTGAGCATCCCCTGCCTGTTCCTGGGGGAGAGGGAGGGCTGCTCCAGACCTCCTTGATTTCCCCGTTGCTGCCATTCCCCCCTTGGTGCAACGTCCTGCCTGGCCGTTGTCACTGGCCACAGCCGAGG